AGTCTCAGTTTCTTCAGACCTATGGTGGAAATAATAATACTTCCTTGAGTTGTTTCAAAAATAGAATAAACAGATACATGAGAAGTTATTAACATGAAGTAGATGTTCCATGAATGCTAACTTCCTTCCCTTCCCATCTCAGATGCACCACTACTAACAGAAACAGTCCAGGCCACTATTTACTTTGAAGAGTTCATCACAGGCAGGTGATTTAACATAACATTTGTTCTTGTTTTCTGTTCATTGGTTTTATTTTTCAATACGTATGTCTTTGGATTGGCTCATCCTGTGTCACTTTTTTTTTTTTAATGTAGATTTCTGTTTGTCATTCTGGGTGTTTGGTTAAGACTAGCCCATGTGGCATGAGTGGTTTTAGTATTTAAAGATTGATAGGGGTATGGGTGTAAGAGGCTGGGGTGTAAAAGAGATCAAAATAAAATAAAATATCTTAATAATGTATGATAAAATAAAATAGAACAGAATGGCAGCAGTGTAGAATGGTTATTGTCTTTTTCTGGAGCCAGATTATCATTCTGGCCTCAGGAACAGTTGTTGAGCCACCCAACTCCGCCCAGTAAGAAGCTGATGTGAACAAGCCCAGCAGAGTTTATGACACTGATGGGAGACAGATGGCCTCTGGGGTATGGTGATAGGGAAGTCACATTTAAATTTCAGTGTCTTGGTGTCATTCTGCTTGTCTCTACATGGTCTAAACCTTTGGTTCTCAAAATTTAAGAATATAAAAAAATAACTGATGTGTGCTTATTTTAAATGCAGATTCATGGGCCTCCCCCAGATTGATTCAGTAGATCTAAAGTGGATTCCAAGAATCTGCATTTAATTAACCACATCAGCTGTTTCTGAAACTGGTTGCCACCCGTGTCAGTGATTCGGGGTGATGGGGTTCCAGGCAGAAGCCCATCATTCATTGTGATTTATTGAGTGCTAATTAGGTGCAAAGCATGGTAGAGGATATGGCCCTCTCTCACCATGGGTTTATCATTGAGAGGGGAAATAAGACTTGTATACAGACAGGAAAACAGGTGCTAGCTCTTCAGGTTAGAGTCAAACTGCTGCTGCTTCTTCCCGTTTCACTCTGTGTAAACCTCATGTTGTTTTAGAATGCTCTTGTCTACTAGTTTGTGTATTCCTTGAGGGCAACTGAGCTACACTGATGACCTACAGAAATTTTATTCATCTTTTCTTATTCTTATAACTTTGGTTTTGGCTATGACTCCAACCCTAGCCCCTGTGACAATCTCTCTTTGAGGCACTGCATATTAGGGAATGGTTTGTCTTCATGGGACTTATTGGATCTGCTCTGTATGTTACTGCTCCCATACCATTCTGCTTGTCTTCTGTCCATCTTGATGACCTGGAAGAGATAGCAAAGATCACACATGCTCTATTGGGCTTTGGTTCTCACAGCAGGGAACACATGTGTGAGGCTAGTGGTCATGTGGGTGGGTGCAAGGTGAGTTCTTGAGAATTACTCTATGGCACAATGTTTGGATATGAAGTAGGATTTCAAAAGGGTGTGGCCCTAATATTTACATTTATGGAGGCATTGTGACATATTCTGAAGATTTATCTGCTGCCTTCATGCTGGAAAAACATAAGCACATTGGTTTCGTCTCTAAGAAGGAGAGTAATTAGATTTAGACCAGTCAGTATCTGCTTTTTCTTCTTGAAGCAGGAACCATTATAAGTTCTTGGGAGAAGAGAATTGAGCTGGATTTGACATTGAGGAAAGTGTGAAGGTAAGGGTAATTTTACTAAGGAAACTTGAAATAGTTGAAATTTGGGAGAGAATGTATTGGTATGGAATGATGGAGTGATGGAGAACTTTAAAGCTACAAATGCTTGTATATACTTTGCTTTGAGTGTCAAGCAAATGGTAAAATGAAGTTCAAGAAATAGTTAAAATTTTTTTACTGTATTGGGATTTATAAATGTGCTTAGAAAGGAGTCACTAAGATTTAGGTATACTTTATTTTGGTGGTGGCTCAGGATGAAATTTTAATTTAGGTTTTCCCCATGGTATTCATTCTATGTTGAAGTTAGTATTTGGTTGAGATTCCACCAAGAAAACTGTAGGATCTCTTTCCGTGAGCTATTTTGAGTTCTCTCCTCTTTCTGTGCGTTGGCCTGGTCTATGATTTATGTGTCTGTAACACTGGGCATTAACACTTGACACCTAAGTTAGATCTTGGGATTTGTCTATTATTATCTCTAAGTATTATAGTTTTAGAATATTTCCCTTTAGGCTGGTGAGTGAGTGTGTAAATTTGGAGGACAGTGAGAAAAAAAAGAGGTCAACCAGTATATTAGGAGCCATTGCTTGTCATTAGCCCAGAGGATGGTGTTTGGTGTCATTAAGTGTAGAGGGTTTTGTTTTGTTTTTGATGGGGGAGGAGTATGAATTGTTAGGATAAATTGTAGCTGGAAGCTGGTGTTGAATTGCAACCCACCATTTCAGGCCTGGATGAACCACTTTCCCCATGAGATTATTTTAAGTGGCAAGATCAGGCAAGAAATATATTGAGGAAGGACCTTCTTGTTTCCTATTTTGGTGATCTTCCTGAGGTATCTGCTGGTTTTCTGGCAAGTATGATTTGCTTTGTGGGTGAGAAAAGCTTTCTTCCAAGGGAAATGTGTCTTCATTTTGGATTTAGATTCAATCAAACTCTGGACTACTTGGCTTTTATGATCAGTAAATTACAATCTCAGGCAATAGTAAAGCAAGGAACAAAAGATAAATTTATGGATAATGGTGTTCTAGGAGATCACAATGGAGTGATATTTGAGAATTTGAGCAGTTTTTTCTTTCCACAATGAAAGTGAAAAAAAAAAAAAAAGAATACCATTTTCATTGTCAGGAGCAACTGGGTCTGTTGAGTCCCTTAGCTAGGCAAATATAGCAAGCCTGCCTTGACTTCATTTTGTTTGAGTTTTTTAAAACAGAGAAAAACTGAGCCATCACATTGTTTCAGATTAAAAGGCTAAAATGCAGAAGTTCTATAACTGAGCTAGGAGCAATGCCTCATTTCTTTCCCTACCCTGATCACCTCATATCTCTCTTCAAAAACCTTCATCTACTCCCCATTGCCTTCCTGTCATGTCCCAGTGTCTGTGCTGAGATATATTGGTTCACTCAGCTTATGATCCTTATAAGAAGGACTTAGTTACTCTTGTTAATTTGGAATTTCATAGTGTATAAGATGCTATCCAGGTTCATGGGGGGGGTAGAAAGAATAGATTTATAGTCTTCTTGCTTTCAAGAAGCTCATTCTTTAAATGCAGTCAAGGAATTAAATAACTACAGAAGATTCCAGTAACCTTCTAAGACAATAGTTGGAGAAATGTTACAAGCAGTGCATGCATGACTGCCAAGAGAATTATAGAGATGCTTGTTGCTTTTCAGCAATTTTGTCCAAGTAGAATTCCTCATTTGATTTTTTTTTTATAATTTTATTTTTTATAAACATATATATATCATTTGATTTTACTTTTATTCTACTTTGGTAGTTTGAGGTGAGTTGAGGATAACATGAGCTTGCTTATTACTATGGGTTATTTGCTTTAGAGGAACTTATTTTACTTTTAGGAGTTAGCTATTGTTCTTTGTTCCATTTCACAGAAAAGGAAACAGAGGCACTGAGAAGTTAAATAACTTGCCCAAGTCACTTAGCTAGTAAATAATAAAGTTGGGATTCAGTTCTAGTCAGCCTGAATCCAAAGCCCCTTCTCAGGTTTGAAAAATGCTATTCTTTTCACTAAATATAGCCCCTATCACTTAAGTTATTTGAAAACTTTAAGTGGCTGTAGGGGTGCCTGGGTGGCTCAGTGGGTTAAGTGGCTGTAAACATTTTTTAAATCATTCTTCTGATTTTAGACAATGTATATTTTTAATTTGGTGCCTGTATTTCTGGTTAATAAGTTTAGGATAGCTTCCTGGAAATGGGTTTCCTATACCAACAAATATAAAACCTTCAAGTCTTCTTAAGACATATCAAGTTCTTCTCCAGAAAAGTACAAATAATTTACAGTCTGGACGTATTTTTCAATCCCACATAAAAGCATTTTTTAACACCATATGGCTTCATGAGCCAAGGCAAAGAGAACTCAGTGACACTGCTAAATATGGTGGTTAGGATGAAGAATCACAGAATGTTCAAGCAGAAAGGAACATCAGGTGTCACCTAGGCCACCTCCTTCTTTTATTAAGAACTAAGGCTTTGAGAGGTTAATGGACATGCTATAAATATTAGGATGCATGAACCCCTTTGAGTGTATTTTTGCATCACTTTGGTAAATACCTGGTAGTGCAATTGCTGGGTCATAGGGTAGCTCTATTTTTAACTTTTTGAGGCACCTCCATACTGTTTAGAAACATGGCTTTGATTCACCTGGAGAAGAGGCTGGGAAAAGTCTTAGGAGAAATGCTTGAATATTTGATGAGCACTAATGGTCTCTTTTGTATACTCGAGGCTTGGTACTTTGAAATTACTTACTTAAAAAATTGTAGGCAATTTTATATCATTTCAAGTTTTAAACACACAGGTAAAATTTTCATATTACTTTCCTCCAAATATGCTTAAAGTGTAAATATACGGTGTTGCACATGCTATCACTTTAAGAAATCCTTGAGCTCCCTCTTAAAAACAACATAACTCTTGCTTAATAATGTGATATTTGGGCAATTCACTTACCTGTCTAATCCTGTGTCCCAATTGAAAATGGAGAGATTGTGTGTTGTAGAGATTGTGTGCAGAACATTTGACATAGTGCCTTGCACAAGGTAAGCGTTCAATGAATATGCATGTTTTTCTTGTTGGTATTGTTGATGTTGCAGTGATTGACAGTAATATCAATTCCTCTTAAATCAACGGTATATCTACTATCATCAGAAAATAGTGTATTTTATGAGAATGAGTGATGTTTTGGTTAAGTTCTGGAAACAAAATGTCTTCATCTTCTATATGTTCTTATCTTGGTAGACATGGGGAGTTTCAAAGGTCATGCCCTCCCTGGAACCTTCTTCATTATCATGGGTATTTGGTGGACCATCAAGTGCATTCTGAAGTATGCCTTCAAAAAGCACAAAAGGACTTCCTACCTTGGCTCCAAAGCATTATTCCATCGAATAGAAATTTTTGAGGGAATTGTATTAATTGGCATGGCCATCACTGGTGAGTACACCATTTCTGTGTTCTGTTTTCTCCTTTTGGGTATTTCTACATGCAAAGAGAAAATTAAATATCAAATCAAGAAATTGCTAAAATGAATTTTTATTTAAAAAATCTCTGAACACATATTCTCTCTCTCTCTCTCTCTCTCTCTCTATATATATATATATATATATATTATTTCTTTTAAACATATAATATATTTTTATCCCCAGGGGGTACAGATCTGTGAATCGCCAGGTTTACACACTTCACAGCACTCACCATTGCACATACGCTCCCCAGTGTCCATAACCCCCCCCAACCCCCTCCCCCCATCAACCCTCAGTTTGTTTTGTGAGATTAAGAGTCACTTATGGTTTGTCTCCCTCCCAATCCCATCTTGTTTCATTTAGTCTTCTCCTACCCCCTTAACCTCCCATGTTGCATCTCCTCTCCATCATATGATAGTTGTCTTTCTCCAATTGACTTATTTCGCTAAGCATGATACCCTCTATCTGAACACATATTCTAATTGTAATTTCTATCTGATTATAATTTGTTAGAAGGGGACACTTCATGTTTACACAGAAGCCTATTCCTTAATGAGTCAGTCATAGATATTAACTTTCCTGATCACTCAAGGTGACTTTCCTTTATCGAATTAGTTGGAACCTTGAACTACTTTTATAATATTTATTCTGATGCCTGAAAGAGTAAACTCTATCAGAAACCATTTTTCAAAATGATGCCAAAATAATCAAGTTATTGTGGGAAAGCCTTAGTCGTAAGTTGTTGCTGATGGACTGTACAGAGGGGTCAGGCTGATGAAGACTTTGCTTTATATACTCATCCTTTTTTGCGTTATTCTTAAATTGAAAAGGGAAGTTAGGCCAGATGACTTCTAAGGACTTTTCATTGACTATAAGGTTCTGAGAAAATTTTCTGTGGTTTTAGAATTCCCTGGTAGCCTCTCCTTTGTGAAAAGCAGAACTTTCTCCTTTCCCTTTGGATTTCTTCATACTTTATTCATGGCAATAGGTCTTTGCTATGGACATGAAATTACAGAGCAACCATTTCCAAAGAGAGGAATTGCCTTGCCAGATTCCATAGATTGACACATACATCAGTATTTTAAAGAAAGTTTTATTGTTTCTGTACCTGACCAGACTGTGTGCTATAATCTGTGTTTTCTCAGTTATCCTTAATTGAGGAAAAGCTGAACCCTTGTCTTTTGATTCTGAATCAAGCACAACTCTCCATTTCGTGGTAGCTACCCAAAGATACTACACAAAGATGTAGGATGTGTCAGAAGGAAGTAATCAGCCTTTGTACAATTTACCTAGTCATTACATGAAAATGGGAACTATGACCATCAGTGGAACTGGTCATGGAACTATGAAGAACTGAAATGATCAACTTTGAAGATCTGAAATAACTAGCTGTCTGATTAAATTGGTTATCTTTGACTAAAAGTTGATCATCCAAACCAGTGTTTGAACCTCTAAAACCAGCTGAAAGCACCAGTACTTAGCTGTTAAGGAACAGCCCAGAATGAAGAATCAGCATTATAGAAGGACATTAGGTTTGAATAAGCCATGGGTTCATCTGGTATCTTCCTGCTTTCTTTGTGAAGTCATGGAAAGGGTTGCTAAAACTGTGATATCTTCCTTTGCAGGCATGCTCGGGGAGCAGTTTATTCCTGGTGGGCCCCACTTAGCCTTATATGACTATAAAGAGGGTCAGTGGGTCGAACTCTTGAGCTGGCATCATTTCACCATGTATTTCTTCTTTGGGCTGCTGGGTGTGGCGAACATCTTGTGTTTTATCATCAGTTCACTTCCCACCTCCTTAACCAAGTTAATGTTGTCGAATGGCTTATTTGTGGAGGGTAAGTATAAGTGAGTATGTTCTTGTTTCACTATCCTTGGACACTTATCTAGGCCTGTACAATAATATTCCTTTAGTGTCTTGGTGCCACCTTGATTAATTGGGCCATCTGTTTGGGCCATGGGGAGATCGTCAGATGTCCTGCATAGGATGCCAAGGATTTTCTCTCCTTACTGACTCATACAGTAAAATAAGAAAAGCACCATCATTTGATGTGCTTTATTCACATTTCAGATCATTCTTAAAGAACAAGATGCCATGGTTATTTATCTCTAGGTTATCCTGGAGAGAATTATTATTTCTGTTTTAACAAGTGAAACTGAGTTCAGGGTAGTGAAGCATGAGTATCTTTTTTTTTTTTAAAGATTTTATTATTTATTTGACAGAAATCACAAATAGGCAGAGAGGCAGGCAGAGAGAGAGAGAGAGAGAGAAGAGGAAGCAGACTCCCCACTAAGCAGAGAGCCCCATGCAGGGCTCGATCCCAGGACCCTGGGATCATGACCTGAGCCGAAGGCAGAGGCTTTAACCCACTGAGCCACCCAGGCACCCCGTAGCATGAGAATCTTGAAACAAGGAGACCACTCACAGCAACCTACTAACCTGCTAACTAGCTATTTTCATATTGATATAATGAAGCTTCACCATTACATGATAAGTGGAGTCAAAAATCAGTCACTAAAAATAGGAGGTCCTATTTTTGAAAGGTTAATGAAAAATACTTTTTGTTCAGTTGATGTCCCTCTTACTGTGTAGGGAAAATAGGTGTTTAGTAACTTGTTTTCATTTATTGTATTTTTAAGGAATAGATTGATTATAGAACTAAAAAAGCCCATGGGGTACCTGGGTGTCTCAGTTGTTAAACATCTGCCTTCAACTCAGGTCATGATCTCAGGGTCCTGGGATCGAGCCCCTTGTTGGGCTCCCTGCTCAGCAAAAAGCCTGTTTCTCTCTCTCCCACTCCCCCTGCTTGTGTTCCTTCTCACTGTCTGTCAAATAAATAAATAAAATCTTAAAAAAAAAGAACTAAAAAAGCCCCAGATTATCAGGAGGGGCCATTTCCTAACTGATCACCTTCCCTCCCACATCTGAATATAAGGACTTTTGCCAACCCCTCTCTGAGAACAAAGGCTAGCTAAAATATGGGCATCAAAAACCAACAGCAAGATTCTCAGTATTTCAGGGTGTTACCATATTTTGGGTGAACATCTTTTCCTCCTCATGTACATGAAAAGGTTGAAGATAAAGCTGGAATCTGTTCATGGGATTAAAAAATATAGGTAGTTACTACTTCTTGGGAGCTTCCAGAGCATCTTTTCATACCCAGCAAAGTCCTCTCTTATGATTTGTACATATATGTATTTGCTTACTCCAGTGGACTGAATTCCTTCAGGCGAGGGTCTGTTTCATTCATCTGTGTGTTCACCCTAACTCTTTCTCCTGTCCCATCACCCCTACTCTTCATCCTCCTGCATAGAAGATGCTTCGAAATATAGTTAGTTAAAAAAGTATGATATGTTAGACAAGGAAAGGGAAAAGGAGTGATAGATCCTTATTCTTAAGAGGTAGTGATGTTGGGAGGCCTGGGTGACTCAGTGGGTTAAGCTTCTGCTTTCAGCTCAGGTCATGATTCCAGGGTGCTGGGATTGAGTCCTGCCATCAGGCTCCTTGCTCAGCAGGGAGACTGCTTCTCCCCCTGGTTGTGCTCACTCTCTGACAAATAACATCTTAAAAAAAAAAAAAAAGAAGAAGTAGTGAGGACTCCCAAAAAATACTAGAGGTTTCCATTATTGTGGGAAGCAGAGAGCACTTGATATTTTGGACAAATTGGTGTGTGTGCATGTGTGTGTGTAAAATTCTGTGGGGTGGGGGAGAGACAGAGGGAGACAGAGAGAGAGAGAAATGGTAGATGTCCCTTGGTTTCACTGAATAAGAGAAACTGTTTCTTCCCTCTCTATCAGCTTTTGTCTTGTACAATCACACTCATGGCCGGGAAATGCTGGACATCTTTGTGCACCAGCTGCTGGTCTTGGCCGTCTTTGTGGCAGGCCTGATTGCCTTCTTGGAGCTCTTCATACGGACCAATATCACTGTGGAACTTCTTCGGACAAGCTTTATCCTGCTTCAGGGGAGCTGGTTTTGGCAGGTGAGTCGGGGCCTCCAGTGAAGGCATCTGGTGTTTCCATCTGTACTCTTCTCTCTTTGATGGGGTATTTTGATCCAGAATCAGGGACTTCCTTCTGATGAGCCACCGGTAGGGAGAATGTGGGTCTTTGAGAGGTGATGTTTCTTTGAGTAGACCAGAGGCCCTAGTGGGAGTGCTGATAGAGCGGCTGGAAAGTAAGTGGGGTGTGGCCATCTTCCTCACATACCTGGATATCCATAATGTAGGAATTCTGGGCCATTGCTTGTTGTGAGCAGCAGGTGCTAATGCTAACACAATTTACAGCCTAATGGGTAATGAGCTTGAGAAATATATGAAAAGCAGAAAGGAGAGGAAATGACTAATTATTGAGAAACAATGATGTGCCGGCGACTCTACAGGACTATTTCATACATGTTGTTTCAATTTTGTCCTCACAGTGACTTGGAAGTTAGGTATTATCATCCCAAATTTATGGATAGGACTCCAGGAGACAATGTGACTATCCCAGACTCACACAGTAATGGAACTAGCATCTAAATGTGGGTCTGGTTGACCCCAAGTCCCGGGCTCTTTCCATTTTACTCTGTTGACTACCTAAGTTTGGCGTGTTGTCAAAAACATGTATTCCAATTAGTGAACTTATATTTTATAGACACTGGTAAATCATACTATAATATGCACATATAGATAGAAGGAAACCCTGAGATGAAAGGTAAATGTGGTTTAATAGGGGATGACTTCTTAGAGGAGATATTTCGTCATCAGAAAGTGGAAACTTGGGATGAGGTTATCGCAGGGATTTGCAAGCTATTAGTGTTCCATTAATAATTAATGATTTATTAAGAATCTGAGGGAAGAAGCATGGGTTGTCACAACTGAGACCAGAGAAATAATGTTTTCACATTTTACCAAAAGCTTTTCTAGGAAAGAGCTATGGGGTTAAAAATCTTTGGGCATAAATCTGTGACTATTTAAAAATCTTTTCCATCTATGAGTATGTCTAGACTAGTTTCCTTTTTTACCTGGTGGCTAGACTAAATAACGTTTGGAGGCTTAAAGAAAAATGAACATTTAATACCAGTACAAACACACACACTGGCAGGAAATGAAGGTTTAGCTGTAGTACCTCTCTCCACCCTCAGATTCCTCTGAAACAAAAATGTCTGGAGACGTAGATGAATTTATTCTGCTTTTATTTTGATGTTATGTGTGGTAAATGAATGTTTGTGGCCAAACTCTGTCATAAGCTAATAATAGGACATCGTGAATTGCTTTTCACCATATTTTTTTCTCTCTCTACTTGTCCATAGGTGGTTAATACTAGTGCATAAACAATATGTAGACAGATTAGCACACTTAGATTCTTGGAACTATAAAGGAATTGGGAAATGAGTGAGGCAAATGTTCAGATTGGCCATTTTTTTATAACTCATACGTAAATGATGGGGTAATAGGCAAACTTCAAGAGAACTATGCTCCCAATCTTTAAGAATGGTTTCTTTCCCGAAGCTCATTACAGTCAGATATGTTTTCTCAGAGACTGTCATGAGCACACTATGAAGGCACACACAGGAGTTGTGTCTTTCCACAATGTCAGCTTTATTCAATCATGAAGCAAAGTTAAATCACAATGATAAAGCAGGTTCGGGATTCCAAACTTGATGACATTTCACCGTGTGATTAAACTTGGCTTGTTACACAGCACACAAAGCAGGACAAGACAAATCACACAACAAACAAGATAACAAAAGGGTGTAGGAGGTTAACGAACCAAACTCGATGTCAGTCTGTGGGCACGCAGTTGAGCTAAGGCCTCTGTCGACCTCGGTTTGGTCTGTGTCAGCTCTCTGCACTTAACTGCTTATGTTCAAGCAGTGAAGGATCTCAGTTCTGTTTGGAGATCCACTGGGCAGAGCCTTCCATGGCAGCTGCCTTTTTAAAATGGTGAGACAGAGAGGGATTCATATCTGAAGAGTCTGACAGTTTGCTGCCAAAATCCTTCCCTTTTTAAAGGGATTTAATTGGTTTTGGGTCCCTGCAGACCTCCTCTGGTTCTACTCGCTATCAGTTCTGGGGTCCCCGCCATACTGCCTAGCTCCTGCTTGTCATGAGGGACTCCATTTTCCTCTCTTCGAAAACCTATCCATATCATGCAATTTAAAAAAGAAAAAGATATCCTTCAGGCCCATTCATTCCATGAAACATGGTTATCTGAGACTCTTTGTGGGAAAATACTTTTTTTTTTTAAGATTTATTTATTTATTTGAGAGAGCGAGAGAGAGAGAGAGAGAGAGAGGGAGAGAGAGAGAGAGAGAGTGAATGGGGGAGGGGGAGGGGCAGATGGAGAGGGAGAGAGAGAGAAAATCTCAGGCAGATTCCCCACTGAGCACCGAGCCCAGACTAGGGGTACTGGCGGGATGGAAGACTCAATCTCACAACTTCAAGATCACGATCTGAGCCAAAATCAGGAGTCGGATGCTTAACCAACTGAGTCACCCAGACACCCCTGTGGGAGAGTATTTTTAAAGCTCATTTTTGCACTTTGTCATTTCCAAGTTCCTCCCCATCACTGTCAGAGTTGAGGCAGAGACCCTCGTGCAGGAGGAAGATAACTTCTGTTGTCTTTACTTCCCATTACTTTGAACAGTATCTGATGCATCACCCACCCCTCATTAATGCCCCAGGGACTCCTCCCATGACTTCCCAGATGCTGAGCCTAAAATAAATGCAGCTTTGTTTTGTCTTTAAGAAAGATAAAAGTTCTGAATCTTGGAACACTGAAAAAAAAAAAAAAGAAAAGATAAAAGTTCATTCAGAGATGTCAAAAAGACCCAACTAAGCAGTAATGGTCTGAAGTCTGGTATGGTAGATCATACACTTGTTTAAGACTAATAGTGTTAAAATAAGTGATTGGAGCATAAGACATAAAACACTAGGAAATTCAATCTTTAACCTATGGGAAATGGGCCCCTGGCTTGTGTATTAGGGAAGATAATTATTTACATTTTAAATGTGATATTGAACTAGTCAAAACCAGATATTCAGGAATGCCATAGCAGATACAGCAAGAAAAAAAATCTTTTGCAGACTTTTTTTTTTTTTTTTTTTTGGTTAGAATTTTACATTAGGAAGCAAATTAGGATACCCAATGAGAGAGTAGTGGCTGATTCTATATTTCAAGTGGAAATTTATTCTTTCACTCTTCTGGAGGCCAGAAGTCTAGAAATCAAGGTGTCAGTGTGTTGGGGGCCCAAAGGCAGAATCTGTGCTATGCCTCTCTCCTTGAGAGCTGCCAGCAATCCTTGACATAACTTGGCTTATGGAAGTGTAACTTCTACCTCTGCCTCCAGAGTCACGCCTGTGTTTTTCTGTGTACCTGTGTCTTCACATGGCCTTCCATAATAAGGATACCGGTCATTGGATTTAGGGGCAGTTCTAAAACACTATGAGCTCATCTCGAGTTGATGACATCTGCAGAGACTTTATTTCCAAATAATGTCACATTCACAGGCACCAAGTGTTAGGACATCAACATATCCTTTTGGAGGCACGCAACATAACTCGCAACAACTGCTAACCTCTACCTCTGGGAGCTGTAGCAAATCACTCCCCAAGCAGGGATAGATGGGTGGATGGCATTGGAAGGACATCGGTGGGACCAGTAAGTAAGAACTGGGGAGCTGGTCCATAGTTCATTACACTCAACTCTCCCTTAAAGATACTTACTTGACACAATTTCTTTGTTACCTTTCATAAGTTGCTTCAAAAGGAGGGCATGAGGGGAATGAGGATAATGATATCTTATCCTTGGGGTTATGATGAGGACTGAGAATTATTGTGAAGTTTATGTGCATGAATGAGGTTAAGGTGCCCCACACCTAGTGATACATATATTGGGTGGTACAAAGAAAATTCTTTAGAATGGGAAATAGGAACAAGTGATTAAGACCCAAGTCTTATTTTTTCCTAATTTACTCAGGTTATGTGAAATTTCAAACAGAAATGGAATTAAAGTTTCACTCATAACTGTGGACTAAATGCTTTTTTTTGTTGTTGTTGTTCCTGTAAAATTTCATTTATTAGATGTGTGATCCTAGGCAAATTATAAAACCACCCAATTTTCTCACCTGGATGATGAAGACAATAGTACATTAAAGTGGGGGTAATAATACATCATTTAAAGGCCATTGTCAGGAAACTCCCAACCACTGTAACTGACAGTTACAGTTCTATTTAGCCAGTGGACATTCATACAACTATCCTTTTAATTATCTTGGTATTATATTTTATTTAGTTCTAGAGACCTGACCTATGTCCATTCCCCATCCCGCCATCTGTCCATCATTCTTCCCTCTCTCTATCTTGTTTTTGGTTAGGATAAAATTTACATAACAGAATTAACTATTTTAGAGTATATAATTCAGTGCCATTTAAGGACATTCACAATATTGTACAAGTATCACTGCTATTCAGTTCTGAAATATTTTCATCACCCCAGAAGAAAACCCTGGAACCCTGAAGCAATCATTCTCTTTCGCTCTCCTCCCAACCCCTGATAACCACTAATTTGCTTTTTGTTTCTATGAATTTATGTATTCTTGATATTTCATGTAAATAGAATCATACAATATGTGACCTTTTGTGTCTGCCTTCTTTCCCTTAACATAATGTTTACAAGATTCATCCATTTATATCACATATTAGTGCATCATGACTTTATGGTTCAATATTCCATGATATTGATATACCACATTTTGTTTATTCATCATCAGTTGACAGACAATTTGGGTTGTTTTCAACTTTTGACTGCTGTGAGTAATGCTGCTATGAACATTTGTTTATAAATTTTTGTTTGAATATTTGTTTTCAGTTCTTTTGAGTATATGCTTGGGAATGGTATCTCCAGGTGATATGATAATTAATGCTGCATTTAACTTTTTGAGAAACTGACCAGTTGATTTCTACAGTGACTGCACCATTTTCTATTCCTACCAGCAATTAACAAGGATTCCAATTTCTCCATATTCTTACTAAAAGTTGTTATTTATTATTTTTACCATCCTAGTGAGTGTGAAGTGGTATCTCCTTATGGTTTCGATTTGCATATCTATAATAAGTGACAATGTTCATCATCTTTTCATGAGTTTATTTACCACTTGCATACCTTCTTTGGAGGAATGTCTCTTCAACTCATTTGTTCACTTAAAAATATTTGGTTTTTGTCTTTTAGCTGTTGAGTTGTAGGAGGTCTTTATATATTGTAGATATTAATTCCTTATCAGATATATGACACAGCAGTATTTTATCCCATGCTGTGGGCTCTCTTTTCATTTTCTTGATAGTGTCCTTTAATGTACAAAAGTTATTTAATTTTTGTGAAGTCCAATTTATCTACTTTTTGTTTGGTTGATTGTATTTTTGGTGTAGGGTCTAAGAAGAAATCCCCAATCCCAGGGCATGAAGCTTTCCTCTTATGTTTTCTCCTGAGAGTATTATGGTTTTATTTATTTATTTATTTATTTATTTAAAAGATTTTATTTGTTTATTTGACAGACAGAGATCACAAGTAGGCAGAGAGGCAGGCAGAGAGACAGAGGGGGAAGCAGTGTCCCCGCTGAGCAGAAAGCCCGATGTGGGACTCGATCCCAGTATGCTGGGATCATGACCCTAGCCGAAGGCAGAGGCTTTAACCCACTGAGCCACCCAGGCACCCCTAGTTTTATATTTGGTCTTTGATCTGTTTTGAGTTAATTTTTATATGGAGTGTGAGACAAGGGTCCAAATCCATTCTTTTGCATGTGGATATCCAGTTGTCGCAGTACCGTTGTAGAGACTACCGAGTTACCCACTGAATGGCCTTGGAACTCTTGTCAAAATGAATTTGCTACAGACATAGATTTATTTCTGGAGTCTCAATTCTATCTCATCAATCTGTATTTCATGATGTCTATAACACACTATTTTGATTACTGCAGTTTTTATAATAAGTTTTGAAATCCGTAAGCATGGGTCTTACAACTTTGTTTTTATTTTTTGAGGTTGTTTTGGCTATTCTGGGTTCATGGTAATTACATATGATTTTTAGGATCAGCTTTCCATTTCTGTAAAAAAAGACCATTGGGATTTTTTAAAAATTTGAATTCAATTAACCAGGGTATAGTACATCATTAGTGTTTCATGTAGTGTTTAGTGATTCATCAGTTGCATATAACACCCAGTGCTCATCACATCACGTGTCCTCTGAGGATTGAGGAAGGGGAGGTGAGTGGGGAAATGGGCATTAAGGAGACCATGGGGATTTTGATGGAGATTGCACTGAATTTGTAGATTGCTTTGGGTGTTATTGCCACCTTAACAATATTAAATCATCCAGTCCATGAACATGAGATGTATTTCCATTTATTTAGGTCTTGAAATTTTCAACAATGTTTTGCAATTTTCAGTGTACAAGTCTTAAACCTCCTTGATTAAATTTATTCCTAAGTATTTTATTTTTTTCAGTGCTATTGTAGGTAACATTGTTTTCTTAATTTAATTTTTGTGTTGTTCATTAGATGTGTATAGAAATACAACTGAATTCGTGTGTTGATTTTGTGTCCTGCAAGTGTGCTGAATTCATTTATTAGCTCCAATAGGTTTGTGTGTGTGTGTGTGTGTATTCTTTAGGGTTTTCTATATATAAGATCATATCATCTGTGAATATAGATAGTTTCACTTCTTTATAATCTGGATGCCTTTTATTTTACTTGACTAATTTTTGGCTAGAAATTTTTAGGACAATGTTGAATAGAAGTGGTGAATCCAACACCCTCCTTTTGTTGCTGATCTTAGGGGAAAAGCTTTCAATCTTTGCTCACTGAATATAATGTTAGCTGTGAGCATTTATTTATTTACAAACCTCTTTGTACTCCAATTTTGAAATAACTGAGTGAAACTGCACAGCTTAGAAACCTGGCACATTCTCTGAAAGTCCACTAACCCACAGAGATGATTACTATTTATATTTTGAAAATTGCTCTTCAAATGCCCTTAACACTTTTTTTTTTTTCAAAATTGTGACCTGGTAGATGCTATCTGTATTACTAAAGCAGGCAGTAAGACCTAATGTCTTATCTGTAACATCTCAGATAATTGGAGTTACCTTAGTTAAGATTAATCTTAGAACCAAACATTTTGAAATATACTCTCTTTGGGAATGTGGCTGATTATTTTAATATGTGTTTTTTGTTTTAAATTACAGATTGGTTTTGTCCTTTATCCCCCCAGTGGAGCTCCTGCATGGGATGCAATGGATCATGACAACATCATGTTTCTAACCATATGCTTTTGTTGGCATTATGCATTAAACATTGTTGTTGTTGGAATGATTTATGCCTTTGTCACTTGGTAAGTTAGTGATTTTTTTGTTCATGTAAGTTCTATTTCTTGGTATATGATCATCAAGACTCAAAAGTATTAAACTTTAGATTTGAAGGGGGACTCCATTCCTTAGTATTCCACAAGACTGGGTAACGCAGCAGAAAATTATCTGCAAACCCAGAAAGTCCCCCTTGAAAGAATAAATGCTGGTTTAAAGTTAGACTCATTCAACTGTGTCTCAGCTGTGTCTTTGACCTGTGGGTCACCTTTCAACACAGTTTTCTGTGCCTTTGTCTCTTTGCATATGCTGTCTCCTTTTCCAGATGGTCCTCTCCATACCTTCAGGGAGCCCTCCACTTGCTCACATGTACATTAATCATAGCAATTCACAAGCTTGGTGTCATTTTTTGACCAACATTTATGTCTCCCATTAAATTTGAGTATATGATTAATTTGACATTTGCTCTAATATTTCTAAAAGTAAGAGTCAGTTGAAAAATCATATTTTTTAAAAAGAAAATTTATTATCATAAAAAAAGAAAAATCATATTTTTAGACTCCAATACAATGTCTCACAGTGGATGAAGAACAATAGAACAGATTGATAAAATATGTATTCCTAGGTCTGCCACCTATCAGCTATATGACTTTGGACAAATTATGCAACCACATTAAGTCTCTGTTTACAAAATGGGAATAATAACAGTACCTAAATGAGGTAGGTGTTTACACTGCTTAGACATAACAAGGGCACAGCGGAGGTTATTCTTCTTCTTGTTGATCTTGTTCTTTTTGTTACTTTTCTTGTTCTCCTCCCCTCCTCCTCCTTCTGTATCACAAAAGACATAATGTATAGACCCTAAGGAAGAGAGAAAGACAATTTATTTTTATTTTTTTATTATTTTTTTTTATTATGTTAGGTTAGTCACCAGAGATAGACAATTTAAATACAGTGCAGTAGGTGGAAATAGTAGAAGAAAGTACTTTTGGAGCCCAGAGGAGGCTTCCTCGCAGTTGAGAATTAAGCCTTAGCTTGAAGGATGAAAAGAAACAGAAGGAGCTGAACATGATTCCTGTCTTTAAGGTAGCTAATACCAAGTCATAATGGTTCTGGCTAGTTCCAACTACTAGGCATGCAGGATCCACACTTAATTCTTCAGACTTCAGCACTGACCTAAATGTTCTGTATCAGCAGTCTTCATTTTGGTGACCATGAGCTACTTGACTGTGGTTTCTGAGCACTTGGCATGTGCCTAATGTCACATTAATATTAATTAACTTAAATATCTGTAAATGCATAGTGTCTAGCATATTGGGCAGTATATGTCTAGTAGGTTCTCTGGATTCCTAAAATGTGGTAAATGCTTCTAGGCTCAGTGGGGTCTCAGCCTCTTCAAAAACTAGCTTTCTACTCTTCTCTCCCAGGTCACCTCTCTTGCCTTGTGCTTCTTTGAGCTTCACTGCTGAAGCAGCTTTGGTGCTGGGTCTCTTAAGTAAGAGAACCATTTCCTTGTTTAGCTCCAGATGTCTCTGCTAGGCTTTGGGTCAGCTTACTGTGATCTGTAGATACCTCCTTCTAGAGGTCTAAGTGCTTTGGGTACTAGGAGATTCTAGCTTCTCATTGACTGATTTCTATTAGTCCTATTTCATTCCTCCAAAGCATGCACATGGTTGGTAAGACTGGCTCTGCCACTGAGTGAAACTTGCCTTCTTCCTCTGTTGTTCTAGGCTGACATCTGGGCCTCATCTCTTTAGGGGCTGGGAAGCCTCCAAGAATAATGGCAACATTCAAGGAGCCTCTCTAGCTCATGTCAGCTCCCTTCCAGAGTCAAAAGAAGACTACTGTCTCTTCCTGTTTCAAAAAGCTTCAGACCTCTCTTATCCACTTACAGTTTTCCAGAAACCAGAAAGTCCATGTTGACTTCCTCAGCCTTTACCTTTTTGACCACTTAGTCCCCTCTACCCGGCATATTCAAATTAAATGCTTATCTCTTCTATGAAAACTTTGTGACTGTTCTAGACTCATCTCCCTTCATGAGTTTTCTAGCACATTAGTCACTACTACCCTTTTTTGCAATTGCAATCTATCTTTACTGTTAGCTCATGTCAGCCTTACCTGTTAGCTAGATTGTAGCACCTTGAGGAAAATACCCTTTTCATGTTTTGCACAGATCTTGGGATGTTGTCAAATGGCATTCCATTTACTGAGTAGGTACTCAATAAACATTTATGTACTGTTTTAATAGATCTGCTTCAGAGTTACATGAATATGGGCTTTGTTTGTTTGGAAATCATGTTTCAGATGCTTTTCAGTCTTGCTCTCATAATGCTCTTGGAAATATAAAAAAGAGCTCATGTTGTGAGGTATATTGATATAAACTTAAACAATAACCTAAAAAATATAATGAAGATTCAGTACTGACTTTCAGTGAGGTCACATGGCAGGCTAATTCAGTTGTATAATCATAAGGAGTTTTGACAATCTATTTTTCAGGATTTGACCGGAGCAGTTTCTAAGTCAGTCACAGGTGATGGATTTTTAGGACATTATATCAGAATTTGTTTGACAAAGTGCAAAGATCACGATGGAAACAAAACTAGGTTATGGAACCACAACCCCCCAAATCTCAGAAAAATGAAGTTGTACTTCCCAGCTTTCCAGAATAATGGTTCAAAGATTGCCTCATTCAGCCCCATACCTGCAGTTCTGAAATAACAATTTGTAAGAGACTGACCTGTTTGGAAATTTTGTTAGATATTCTACTGTATTTCATATTTAAACACTACTGTTCATGAAATATTTCAAAAGCCCCTTTCTATGGGTAGAGAAGTATGCCCACATTCAGGTTGGTTTCCTAAGCAATAATCCAGGTGACTCATTTTGAAGAACAAAATAGAGATGTCCAAATCCCAGGAATGTGACAGTTTGCCTTCTGGAAGTTTGATTTCCAGATGGACTCTGGAAGTACACCCAGAGTGTCAGTTCTGCTCTTTCTCTTATTAATTGAAGAAAACCCATGGGAGCACAACCTCAGACTCACTCATGCTAACCTTAGTATCCTGGACTAACATCATTCCAGGAACTAGCAATTATTTGCACTTCCTATTTATCATTCCAGCCTTTAATCTTTCTCCAGTGCCCATTTATGCATGTGCCAATACCCAGGTCTACAGGGTGCAGACAGAGCCTGAACATGTCTCAGCTTGGGAGCTTATAGTAACAGCAGACACAACCTGGAAGGAGACGTGGGAAACAGAAAGAGTCACCCATGAAGGAGGAGTGGGAAACAGGAAGGGCCTGTGTTAACAATTAATTTGTAATAAGTAGCCAAATGTTTGTTTTAATTTCCACATGAGCCATCAGGAATGTATCTAATTACTGAATTAGCAGTTAATCCATTTTGTTGAGCATGTATTGAGGTTGTGCAATGTAGAGATAACCATGTGGATCTGAGATATGACACAAACACTGTTACCACCTTTAAATTGTTTAAGCCTATTAGTCTTTCATGAGAACAGTGCCTTGAAGAGCTGAGGACATCGGAAGCAATATTAGTAGTCAATTAATAATCAAGGCAAATTATTTCAATTGGTTTCCTTGATCTTGATGAGTCAATAGTTCTTACTGGTACTACTCAGTTGTTGTATATTGGAGGAGTTAATGCTGAGTTGAAAGTGACTGAAGAATTAACCTCTATGAATAAGTGAGTGATGTGGACTCCTGGCAGATTGCTCTGATGGCCATTGATTCGTCAGATGTGTGTTGAGCCACTGTTATGCACCAGTTGGTCTAGGCTCTGGCTAGCGGTAGGGCACTAAATAAGATAGTCTTTGCTCTTACGAAGCTTATATTCCCATAGGATCCAGAGCACAATAAAGTCACTGCATATTTATGGGGGGAAGGCCAGACCTTCACTGGAAAAAGGGAGGCAGAAGATAAGGGATGCAGATAGGCTGGTGAAGTTTTTCACAAAATGAGAATGATTGTGATGACTGGGTGTATCAAATTTGTTTGTGCATTCCTATGTACTTCTGGAATTTAACTGTGTTCTATCAATATGGTCATAATACTGTGTCTTTACAAATAATTATGCACAGGAAAGCTTTGCTTAGATTTTATTACATCAGAGAAGTGGAGAGTCTGCTGAGTTTCTGGGAATAAGAACCTTCGTATCTTCCAGGGTCAAAAATGATACTCTATTTCCCCCAGACCTACAGATCTCTTAATCTATGAAAACAATCACATTGGGGGAGGGCACTTCTTCCAACTTCCTAGTTCACCATGGATCACACACGGACCATCGACCACATGCAATTGAGCAGTCTGTGGCCTGCGCAAAATCATTCCTCTGAAGGCACATGTTGGGAAGGACTGGACATGGGGCTTGACACAGGGAAGGAGATGCCTCTATACACTTTCCAAGAGAGGGCTCCTTTTTGCAATACATACCTAGGTGCGGACTTGATGGAAAAGCTCTCGGCTGAACTTGGTTTCATCTTGGCTTGCTGCCACCCAGAGATTCTCTTGTTTGTTTTAGAAATGATCAAAGCTATGAATGATTGGGTATTTTCTGAAACCTGAACAATCATGTTGTACATTTAAAAACTGATTTTACCTATTTACTTATACTCTGCTTCAATCCACAAAAAGTTTTCAGGTAGCTCCAAAGCCAAATAAAAGTGATTTTCTTTTTTGGATTGCCTCTCCCATTTGCACAGATAATTGGGAGTTTGTTGTATTATAGATAGACGTTGTTCTGGGTTTTTCTTAAACAGCATAACATGAGATACCTTTCATTCTTCTCAGGTTGGTTAAATCTCGACTTCAGAGGTTCTGCCCCTCAGAAGTTGGACTCCTGAAAAATGCTGAACGAGAACAAGAATCAGAAGAAGAGATGTGATTTTGATGGGCATTTTAGTTTTTCTGGATGAACTCCTCTTTTCTGGATTAATTTTGTTCATGGTTTTGTTTTTTGGCCTTTTGCTTGGAGAACAGACAGCTGAAGGTGATTCTTGGTATATTGTTTGTATTTCCAATTTGGTTAAAGTATTTGAATTCAAATATTTTATTTTTAGGTTTGTAAGTACTTTGGGTGATAAAAATGCATTTTGCACATTAGTCATGGTATTTGGGGCCTGCAGCGGCTGTTCTCAGATCATCTAAAGTTAAAATCCACGCTAAGAAAAATTTTTTATTTGCATTATAGATATGCTCAAGGTTCTTGGACTTACTACCATTTGTAACTCATTAAACATGAAATTACAACTGTTTATCCTGTTGCTACAATGAGAAATAAATGAATGCAGGAAACTTGGTAGAGACATCTCAAGTCTTTTTCTTTTCTTCTTCTTTTTTTTTAACATTCTCATTTCTTTCTTTCTTTTTAATTTAAATTCAATTAGCCAATATTTGGTACATCATTAGTTTCAGAGGTAGAGTTCAATAATTCATCAGTTGCATATAACACCCAGTGCTCATCACATCATGTGTCCTCCTTAATGCCTATCACCCAGTTACCCCACCCCCCAACTAACTCCCCTCCAGGAACCCTCAGTTTGCTTCCTATAGTTAAGAATCTCTCATAGTTTGTCTTCCTTTCTGGTTACTTCCCATTCAGTTTTACCACTCCCCTTTCCTATGATCTTCTGCACTGTTTTAAGCAGCAATGTCCACAACAGCCAAACTGTGGAAGGAGCTGAGGTGTCCATTGACAGATGAGTGGATAAAGAAAATGTGGTATATATCTACAGTGGAATATTACTCAGCCATCAGAAAGGATGAATACTTACCATTTACGTCGACATGGATGGAACTGGAGGGTATTATGCTAAGTGAAACAAGTCAATCAGAGAAAGATAATTATCATATTGTTTCACTCATGTGTTTCTTAAATTCAGCTGCATCTCACCCTTGCATCATGAAGAAGGAGCAGTGTGACAAATTCCTTTTTATGAGACATCTCCTTTTGTAGCATCTGACTTGTGCCCTGAGAAAAGTAACACAGCAGTCATCCTGAGTTGCATAGTCTTTTAGAGAAGATGAGAGAAGTGATTCTTAGCATGGATGCAAAGCTATGAGAGATTGAAAAGGGGAGTTATGATGTTATCTATAGAATAAAAAGTCATCACCACAGCATAGCATGGCCACCATACTATCCCCTCTGCTGAAATAGTGGGGGGTTAAAATAAGGAAAGATATTTTACAGATTACCTGGGTAAAAAGTCAGAGCTCTTACCTCATCTTGCACTAAATAGCCCTTAGTGGAGAGTCAAGAAATCTTATTTCTAATTCTGGCTCTACAATTAACTGGCCTCTAGGACTTTAGCAATCACCATGTCCTCTCTAAAGTAAGGGAATTGAGCTGCATGAGGCACTTTCTGGCTATTACATTTTATGAATCTAGAATCTTTGAGACAAAGTGAAGCTGACAGCTGATTTAGTACCATGTTAGTCAGAAAGGCCAGTCTCTGACATGACAGCAAATGTAAGGAGGGTTTCAGGAATCCTTGAGGGCTGATTGAATATAGAAGAAAGGAAGCAGCCTCATGGGAAGCTGGAGGAGAAGTGTGGGCAATTAAATCCTGCAGTTCCATGGCATTCTAGAAACACTGACAAATCCAGAAGCCTGTCTGGTATTATCACAGTGATACTGGAGAGAGAGGTGAGTAGATTCTTCAGGCCAGAGAACTGGACACATTCATTGTTTTTTTTACATAAAGGTTGCAAAGAACTGATGAGGGTGCCTGAAGACTAATTTTGAATCCTACGATAAAGCTGATTCTGGCATATGAATTGCCCACAAGAATGTGATGGCAGCATGTGATTATGGCATTCTGCCCCATGTCACCCTTTATCTTCTCTAGTCCAGCAAGCTTTTAGAACTTTGGCAAGTTTGTGTTTCAAAAGAGTGAGCTGTCAGCTGCAGTTCATGAAAAATGGCATTGCTGGGATGTAGGTCCGCTTAAGGGACTCTAAGAATAATGAGTCAAAACCATATTAAGGCTACAATTTTGAAAACTGATATAAGAGCAAGTATTCTCGCAGTCTTTATGAGAGAGCAGAAATATCCGTTCCTCCCGTCTCTAGACAGAAAGAATGCAAGTGAGATGCAACTCGGTGAGTTGTCTGTGGAGGAATATTTGGTTCCAGTGCAAGGCCACAGCCTGAGGCTATCTGCCTCTAGTCCCTGATATGAACAATACATTTGAGCACCATTGCTGTAACTTTAAGGAAGCCTTCACGAA